GTGTGTACATACACACACATACTACATTTTCTTTGTCCACTCATGAATTGATGGGCACTTAGGTTGATTCCACATCTTTGCAATTGTGAATTGTACTACCTTCGAGTACAGGTGTTTTTTTGTTTGTTTTATTTTTTTGTTTTTAATATAATGACTCTTTTCTTTTGGGTAGATACCCAGTAGTGGGATTGCTGGATTGAATCGTAAGTAAATATATTTCTTTGAGGATCTCCTTACTGTTTTTCATAGAGGTTGTACTAATTATCAGTCCCACCACGAGTGTATAAGTGTTCCTTTCTCTCTGCATCCATACCAGCATCTATTGTTTTTTGATTTTTTAATAATGGCCATTCTGATAGGGGTATGGTGGTGTCTCATCGTGGTTTTAATTTGTATTTCTCTGATGATTAGTGATTTGGAACATTTTTTCATATGTTTATTTGTCATTTGTTTACCTTCCTTTGAAAAACTTCTGTTTTCCCTCCTTTTTAATGGGGTTGGTTTTTCCTTGCTGATTTGTTTGATTTCTTGTAGATTCTAGATATTAGCTCTTTGTCATGTGTATAGTTTGCAAATATTTTCTCCCATTCTGTAGTTTGTCAATTCACTCTGTTGGTTATTTCTCCTGCTGTGCAGAAACTTTTTAATTTAAATAAGTCCTATTTATTTACTTTTGTTATTACTATATTTGCCTTTGGGGTCTTAGTCATAAATTATTTGCCTAGGCCAATGTCTAGAAGAGTTTTTCCTACATTTTCTTTTAAAATTTTTATGGTTTCATGCCTTACATTTAAGTCTTTTATTCATCTTGAATTAATTGTTGTATATGGCAAGAGATAGGGATCCTGTTTCATTCTTCTGTATGTGGCTATCCAGTTTTCCCAGCACCATTTATTGAATACAGCTTCCTTTCCCCAGTGTATGTTGTCTCTTTTGTCAAAGATCAGATGGTCGTAGGTAGATGATTTTGTTTCTGGGTACCCTATTCTGTACCAATACCATGCTGTTTTAGTTGCTATAGCCCTGTAGTATAATTTCAAGTCAGGTAATTTGATGCTTCCAGATTTGTTCTTTTGGGTTTAGATTGCTTAACAAACTGTATTCTTATCCTTTCTTTGTTTGCTTTCTTCTAAGGTCATATTCTTAAAAATTTCTCTGTGATGAGCATTTATCAAAAGATTGGGGCTAATTCTCTTAAACTTTTCCATGCAGGGTCCCAGAGAGCTAATATTTTGTTGCAACATGTTTAGAAAGAACACTTTCATTTGATTTTTTTCATTAATTACTATTTTATGCTTTCATAAATGCCATAAAGTCCATTTCTAAGAAAGAGTCTTGAATACCACCCAGCAAATTTTCCTTGTTTTATAGACGAAAGATCTGAGACCTGAAAAGGTCAAAGGACTTGCCCAAGGGAACATAGCTAGTAAGTGAAAAAACTGTTTGATGTTAAAGAAATAAAAGTCATAAAATGAACATCCTTCTCTATTTTTATCAAAATGCAATATTGTGAATTTTTAGGAAGTAGTTCCAATGTAATGCTAATTTCTCCCAAATGTCCCTTGTACTTATGAGACACTTCAGCTCTGATGTTATACATTGTGTGTGTTTATTCATGCTTTAAAGGTTATATTTCTGCTCTACATCTCTCCAAGTCTTTATTTGCAAATTTTTCCCCTCACAGATGTGTATTGGTCTATTGGTTGCATTTTGAAACCAAATTGTCTAGCGTTCTCACCCTTTGAGATTGCTCCTTCTTAAAGCAATAATATGGAAAATGTACACAGTGATGAAAGTACCTGTCCTCTTGCATTAGTCATGGCACAGGAGACACACACCTCTCACATTTTGTATGTGAAATACCCACTGGTATTGAAAACAACTCTTGTATGGCTGTTTGCATCATTTACTTCAGCCCCTCATCTTCCATTCCTTAATCGAGTTATCTACAGGAGATAGAAATTTTAAAGCTGTCTCCTTGACCACTTCAAACCCCCACAATTAAACAGAAAGTTCTTAGTACTTGAGACTATCTAAAATATACAATAAAGTTCCTACCGCTCCTCCAAAGTGCAAGAGAAAGGAGGAGTTTTCACAGTTACAGTTATTTTCATTCTCACAAATGACTTCAACTTGGCATGGCTTTATAAATTCACAGATGTACCATTAGCTACGTATTATGGTTAAAGTAAGAAATGCTGTTTCCTTTTCAGGTCTTGCCTCAACCTGTACAAATATGAAGAGTCAATCCAGAGATAACTCTGCCCACATTTAATTTTTCAAAACACTCTTGTGCAAACATTAGTCCCTCCTATTTCGTTTCCTCATATTGAGTCACTGAAACCCATGTGGTATCAAAGCCCTATAAATCTGAGGGCAAGTGCTTGAATTGTAGTTTCACACATTCGACAGTAATTTTTCTAAACTGATGTTAAAAATGCATGACAAAGCTTCCCCAAAAATATAATCATGAGAAAGCTCCAGGACAGAAAGATGGTAGAAATATAAGGAGTCAGATGCCACAATTAAAAGTGGAGCTGTCGTGTCTTATTAACCAATCTGGTGGACAATAATGCTTCTCATGCATAAGAGGTGGAGCAGTATCTAAGTATGTGGAAGTCAGTCAGTGCTTTCTTCTCTCTCTCTTTTCCTTTTCCTATTTATAAATCCAGGGCAAAAACGACCCTGAAAAACTTAATAATCCAAAAATATTGCCTTCTTAATTTCAGAAGGAAGCAAGACACCATCATGGCACTGTGGGAAAGTGCTGCGCAGACAGAATACCTCCGTTGGGGTTGCCAACTCCACTTTCTAACAGGGAGCTTATGCAAGTCCCTGGTTGATGGAAGCCTGCACTGTCTTGACACTTAGCTCAGTGCTTTGAGATGATAAGGAGAAATCAAATTGTTTACAAAGCAATAGCATCACATATATTCTTTCATAGGTGTTATTTTAGTGAATTTTCACAATCATTTCCATTTCATAGCTCAGTACACTGAACCTCAGGCTATTAAATAGAATGAGAAGAGCCAGGGCCCAAAATTAACGCAGTAATCCTAATTCTAAGTCTTGGCTTTTTCTACTTTATTGTTTTTGCGTTTTCAGTAGATGGAAAAGGAAGACTGTAATGGAAACAGAAAAGGTGGCCCATCAGGCATCTACAAGGGGAGATAGCTCATGAAGCCTTACCCCATAACTCATAGATGCTAAGGTGAGAAATAGTGGAAGGAAGGAAGTCAAAGAAATTTTAGATAATTTATAATTAGATTTTTGGGAGAAAGGAGAAAGATGACATGAGAATGGTAACAGTTGACCTTGATTTAATGTAATGATATTTTTCTGCAACATTAAAAAAAAAAAGTCATAAACATAGTCTGAAAACCGCCAGCAGAGGGCTTCATGCTGGGTGAAATGCTTTCGATTATTGGCTCGTACACTTAATGAATAATATTCCTTCTATCTACGGCAGAAAAAGAGAATGGTACTAATAACCCTCTCCTTTGCTGTTATAAGCTGAAATAAATATAAATGAAAAAGGAAAATACAATTGTAACTACCTGGGATGTCTCAAGTGCGGTCCGACCCAGCAAGCATGCGCGAGTCCTGAATAAGAAATACAGAGGAAAGAACTGATGATGAAAATGCAATTTTACTCGTTTAATTCCCTTCAAAATCCAGAGTTTGTTTTACCTTTGCGTTTGCATTGTATTGAGTTCTTGCGGGAAATCTTTTCCTGTGTCACGTGATTGGGTGTTACCGCGAAATGCAATAATAGAAAGTGAGAGCAAGAGAAGCCGGCTCAAGTTAGTAGAGGCTGAGCTTTTATTTGTACATTTTTTGAGGAGTTTGAACTTTTTAGCTGCTGAAACAACCGTCTCTAAAATGAGTAGATGTAATAAGGACTGAACTTTTAAAATGCTCTTTGCAGAACCGAAAGAAATTCGCAAAAGAAGAAAGCGAGCGGCCGTGCAGGGTTTGCTCCTACAAAACCCCGACAGAGGGCGCTGTTGCCCGTTCAATGACTTAAGGAACTCTCGCCGGGAAAGGTTTACCTTGCAATTTCTAGGATTTTTCGAATAATGCCCACGTTAAAAAATTAACTAGGGCTTTAATTATCCTTATGCATTTTGGGGGTATCTCTCTAAATGTGTGTCTACGTGGATATAGTTTTATGCTTATGCTTCACTCTTAATAAAACCAGATTCATTCAGTTTTCCTAAAGAATTTAAATAAATTTTAACCAAATATTTCACGTTTCTACTTTTAAAAATACCTAATATTAGCATAAAATAAAATTACATATGAAAAATTTAAATTATACATATATAAGGCTATAAAAGTCATACTAACATAATACACGTTTTAAAAATAGTTTTATATTAATACATAAAATTATTCCTCCCGGGTTGTTTTGTTAAACCTTAGGGTTTATTTATTTTAGACTAATAAATGATTTACTAAAAAGGGATTTTAAACGTGTTAAAAGCACTTAGAGAAAAAAAATAAGATTTTTCCAAATGCATTTTATTTGGGTTGTCATGATCCTTAGGTAATAAAGATAATAGAATTATTGATTTGAAAGGGAGAAGATAATTATTCTCATTAATAAATTTGTGTCTGGAGAATCTGAATTTCCGAGTCTATAATATTTATCTTTCAAAGTATAGATCTTGGACTGGTTTTAGTTCTAGAAGGAGGGGTGGGGGGAACACGTTTTAAGTCCTACCACACAATAAGGTCAGGAAGAATGCCTTCCTCTCATCTCCCAACTAGCTGGGGGGCAAAAAGGAAAATCTTTGCTCTTGCTCCTGGTGGAAAATCTGTATAGATTCCGTATGATTTAAGGTTAATATTTAAAGGAAAGGAAAGGAAGAATGAAGGGAAAGAAGGATGGATGGGAGGAAGGGAGGGAGGGAAAAAGGAAGGGAAGAAGAGAGGGATGGAAGGGAGGGAGGGAAGAGGAAAGAGGAAGGGAAAGGCAAAACGAAAAAAAATAAGACTGGAAATCAAAAAAAGGGTTTATTTCTGAAGTTCCTTCTAAAGCACCTTCTTTGTGTTCATTTGGCTTATCGGTAAAAATAAATAAATTTAAAATCTGCAGAATCGTGCATTCTGCACTTCACGAAGTGTCTCCTTGGTTTTTATCGAATTGGAATCCGCCGAGGTTGTCCAGAGCCCTCTGCTCGCAAAGCGTCCGACCCTGTTCGCACACGGCAGCTCGAAGCGCTCTGGATTTAAAGACAATCGCCTTTTGCAGATTCACTCTTACCAAGCTTCATAACTTTCACCCCAAATCGTCCAGATACCTCCTCATTCCCTCCTGCCATTTATTTACTGCCCTAGGGGCAAAGATCCTCTTCTGGGCTTCTCTTCTTGCTTCAGGGAGCCCTCTGCACCCTGAAAGGGAATAGAAAAACACAGGGGATGGGAAAAGGGGAACAAGTGAGTAATCACTTAGTGATGAAATTCAGAAACCCTGTGTTATAAAGGGTGCCCATTTGCAAGGTTTGGTTAACTTTGTTTTGGTTGTTTATGTTTCCTTTTAAAAAAAAAAACCTGTAAAAATCACCTTTTTGGGGATAACACACTTACAAAACCCTACACACCCTAAAATATGTTTCACTATCTCTTTGAAGAATATTCTGGGTAAAGTCCTTCTCAAAGATTCCGGTGACCATTTCTTGACTCTCCACCTTTATAACCGCTTACAAGTTACAGACAACAGATGCAAATATAAAATGTCTTGTGCCTCTGCAAAGAAGGCTCAAAATTAACATTGTGTGAATGTGTGCATATGTTGCTTCCAACATCTGAAAAAAAAAAAAACTTGATAAAATGGAGACTCCAGCCAAGAGGAATGGTGCATGGAATCGGTTGAAAATGCACACAACCCGTAAAACAACAAGCAGCACAGACTGAGATGTATTTAAGTTTCCAAACGTGTTGGGCAAAATGACCAGAAAATATTAGAAATGGTCACCTTGATGGCTAGCTTTTTTGTTCTACAACGACACAGATAAAGTTAAAAAAAAAAAAGTTGTGTAGCCACCAACACAGACAGATCACCCTTAAAATCCCCGCTTCCAGCTTTCAAAATACCCTCCTGAACATACATGCATGCGAAGCTTTTGTGTTTAAAAATGTCTTAGTAATGGTCCCCCTTTTTAAAAAATCTACACAGAAAATAGGGGACTGATGGCCCCTGATTTCTCATTATGAATTGTAAAGACTTTAGTTTGTGGCTACAATGATTTATCATTTTCAACATAGAGGTTTTTAAAAAATGTATATGTTTATATTCGTCACCCCGAACAACTATCTCTCTTTTAAATGCACGTTTAGAGTCTGTAGACTCTGTGTGACCCAAGGGTGCTTATATAACTATATGTGGGTGTCTGGGTGTAAATACGTGTTTATGATTTTTATAATATATATGTCTGTGGGTTACATCTAACTCATGCGTGTGCAATAATGTTTTTTCTCTCTGCTGAAGCTTACTTGCCCAGCCTATTGTTTGAGACAACAGATATAAGTTGCGATGGGAGAGGAGCGTCGGATTTGGTGTGTTTCCCCCATTTCCAATTATAGATGGATCATTACAGACAGCGGAGTCCTGAGAAGCCAGACATCTGCTCCTCACATGAATGCACTCACCTCCTAGAGACCAGGCTGCCATCATGCTCTGGAAGCTCGTGGAGAATGTCAAGTACGAAGATATCTATGAGGTGAGCCGACACCCCCAGATGCATCTTAGAGCTTTGCAGATAGAGAATTTGAGCTTCTTGACACCCCAACTGATATATATTTTTAAGCTATTTACTCATAGATTTCCGGTCGGTTTTCTCAGCTTTCTTTAACTTTTTAGAAAAAGCTGGCTCGGGGAGACTTCGCTATTCTGAAAAGGGACTTTAAGGTTGAAATCTGGCAACTTTAATTTAGGAGATTTTTTTTTTTCCTTTTAGTTTTCTTTCTCTCTTCCTTGCCCCCCCTCCCCTCTTTTAAGCTCTGATGGGGAATGTGGCGCTACTGAATGTGGGCACACTGTCAGAGAAAATAGGGATTATGACAAAGGCAGGGTCTCTCCTTGTTTTCCGTGTGGAAGAGAATTGGGTTTGCAAGCTTCGTTCGTAACAGAACTCGAGCTTTTGGGTTTTATTTTCAGTAAAATTTCTGAAATCCATCACAAACGGATCCAAGTGGAGGACAGAAAAATGAGAGGGAGAGAGGTGGCTAGCTAGACGGATGGATATATGGATGAATAAGAGGATGATCTAAGGAGCCACGGCAGACAATTTATTATTTTCTGTTTTCTTGTGTTTTGCTCCACTGAGGGTGAAGGGAGGGTCAGTGCGCCCAAGCAGAGATCGAAGCCGCCCCACGTTTTGGCGTTTTTTTTAACGAAATGTTCTGCCCGTGTCCGGTGCGCACGGTTCCCTGGCGCTGAGGCTAGCTCGACTCCTTCGGGCAGAAGTTGCGCCCGCCGCCCCGGTGGCGCTGGGACCGCGCTCGCCAGCGCCCTTTCCGGTCTCGGGCGAGGGCTGGCGCGGCGGCCCGGCGGCTCCGGGGCTCGCGGGCGAGGCGGGCGTCCGGGCGGGGCGCCGGGGGCGCGGCGGGACGGGGTGGGGACGGCGGCGGGGCCCCGGGAGCCTCGCTCTGGAGCGGAGCGGCCTGGGCGAGCCTCAGTTTGGTGCTCGGGGAAGGGAGAGATCAAAGGCTCCGAGGAGACGTCGAGGGAGGGAAGAAAGGCAGAAAAGCTTCAAAAAAGGAGAAAAGCGGTCGGGGCAAGGGGGAAGCCGAAGCGGGGACGATGGAGACAGCCAGGAGGAAAAGTTGGCGAGCAGAGGGAGGCAGAGAAGCGCGCTCCCAGCCGGCGGGCAAGGGCTGCGCCCGGTCGGACGAAGCGGTCGCGGCGGAGGCACTGGGGCTCCTCCAGGAGCCGGGAGAGAAACGCGACCCCGCCGCTCCGGGCTAGCTCCGGAAAACCCAGCGGGAGTCGCCTTGCGGATAATAAGAATGGACGGCTCACTAAAGCGTCGGGCAAGTTCCTTCAAGCCGCTCGCCCAGTCCCGCAAGACCCGGGCTCCGACGAGCGTCCCGCAGGCTGCGCCCAGCGGCCCCCAGCCCTGGGCAGCCCTGAATCCTGATTTTGGGGTGTGTGTATGTGTGTGGGTGTGGGAGGAAGAGGGGGAGAGAGAGATTCGGGGTTTTTTTTTTTGCTGAATGATGCTTGGGGTTTTTCCTTTCCTCTCTTGTGTAACGAAGAGCCGCGCCTACGCGCCTGGTGGGGTTTGTTTCGGTTCTGCCTCCTATTCTTTCCTTAACAGGCGGGATAATGGTAAAGTCGAATGCATTAGAACTGTCCTAAAGAATACGAGGCCCCAAATTGGGCATGACATTGACAGGGATGGGGCTATGGTGAAAACAGCTCGAGGTATACGTAGAGGGATTTGAGTGGGTTCTAAAAAGTAATCAGGGGTAATACTTGTCTTTATGTAAACTGGCTAAATAAATGGGAAAGGAGGGAGAGAAGAAAGAAGAAGGGAGGGAGAGGGGGAGAAGGAGGGTGGACTAGAAGGGGGAAGAGAGAAGAGAAAAAAAGGGGGAGAAAAGAGATGAGAGAGAGGGGAGAGGAGAGAATATTACAGGTATTCCTGTCTGCCTAAATTTTCTAGAAAAAAAAAAAAAAAAACCACCAGAAGAACCCGCAGCACAGTGGAAGGAGCCTATTTAAGTCTGGACTAAGGTTGAACTTTAACAGAAATGGCAGTCAGGCCAGTTGAACGGGTTCCTGAAACATCCAAAAAGGTTTTCTGTTGCCCCTGGCTTTGCCTGGAAAGGATAAGTTTAGTGGACTTGAAGATTGATTGCGTACGCTTTAAACCTAGGTAAAAATCGCAGCCTATGTGAACACTAAAGAGGAAAAGGCTGCACAAGGGATGAATAGCCCCCATCTTGCCTCTGTCCTTTAATAAATTATCGTAATCGCCCACATTCAGTAAAAGTCTGCAAATGTTACTGTCAACATCCGGGCCCACCGGTTTACTTTTCTTTCCCCTCTAAATAATGAAGCAAATCCCTTTTTATTTTGTGTTTTAAGCAGCATCCAAAGCACCCAGGGCGATCAGTTTTTCCCATTAGGAAAGTCTCTCCTCAGGTACAATGACATTCTATACAAGCCCCCAGAGCTGCTCTCCCACACTGCCCTGTCCAAAAGAGCAGGGGCTGCTTTACGCGTGTCCCCAGCTCAGTCAACTGAAGTTCTGCCTCTTTCCTGCTAAACTTTTTCCCCAGTCTGCCTTTGCCAGCCCCCTCGTCTGATTACATCTAGTAATTCTCCACTGAATGAACGTCATTTACAATAGTAGGGGAGCTCTGCGCTCGCTGCTGCTTCACGCTCCATTTGTCCTCCATTCTCCCTTTAAAGTACTCGTGTAATATTAATAGTCATGAATATCAATTATTATGAGGCGGTGTAGGCAAGCGGAGGGAGGAAGGGGCGCCCGAGCAGTCTGAGCCCAGCTTCGGGTGGAAGAGGACTGCATCTGGAGCCCCGAAGAACGGCAGAAGAAAAGAGGCCAAAAAGACAGCAAGAGACAGATGAACAGTTCTGTCTGTGTGTGACAGGCATCACCAATCTTGGGGGGGGGGGGGTTTTTTTTTTTGATGGCTTGTCCTGGAAACACCTCAAGCTCAGCTCCTGTGTCCAGCTCGCTTCTCTGCTGGACTCCTTGATTTTTTTATCATGCCTGGAAGCGTGGAGAATGTCAAGTACGAAGATATCTATGGAGTTTGAGCCGACACCCCAGCTGCATCTTATAGCTTTGCAGATAGAGAATTTGAGCTCTCTGACACCCAGACTGATATATTTTACCTATTTACTCATAGATTTTCCGGTCGGTTTTCTCAGCTTTCTTTAACTTTTTAGAAAAAGCGCTCGGGGACTTCGCTTTCTGAAAGAGATTTAAGGTTGAAATCTGCAACTTTAATTTAGGTAGATTTTTTTTCTTTTAGTTTCTTCCTCTCTTCCTTGCCCCCTCCCCCTCCCTTTAAGCTCTGATGGGGATGTGCGCGCTACCTGAAGTTGGGGCCACACTGTCAGAGAAAATAGGGATTATGACAAAAGCCAGGTCTCTCACTTGTTTCCGTGGTGGGAGAGAATTGGGTTTGGCAAGCCTTCGTTTCGTAACAGAACCGAGGCTTCTGGGTTTTATTTTCAGTAAAATTTTTGAAATCACATCCAAACGGTATCCAAGGTGGAGGACAGAAAATGAGCAGGGAGAGAGGTGGCTAGTAGACTTATGCTTCACTCTTAATAAAACCAGATTCATTCAGTTTTCCTAAAGAATTTAAATAAATTTTAACCAAATATTTCACGTTTCTACTTTTAAAAATACCTAATATTAGCATAAAATAAAATTACATATGAAAAATTTAAATTATACATATATAAGGCTATAAAAGTCATACTAACATAATACACGTTTTAAAAATAGTTTTATATTAATACATAAAATTATTCCTCCCGGGTTGTTTTGTTAAACCTTAGGGTTTATTTATTTTAGACTAATAAATGATTTACTAAAAAGGGATTTTAAACGTGTTAAAAGCACTTAGAGAAAAAAAATAAGATTTTTCCAAATGCATTTTATTTGGGTTGTCATGATCCTTAGGTAATAAAGATAATAGAATTATTGATTTGAAAGGGAGAAGATAATTATTCTCATTAATAAATTTGTGTCTGGAGAATCTGAATTTCCGAGTCTATAATATTTATCTTTCAAAGTATAGATCTTGGACTGGTTTTAGTTCTAGAAGGAGGGGTGGGGGGAACACGTTTTAAGTCCTACCACACAATAAGGTCAGGAAGAATGCCTTCCTCTCATCTCCCAACTAGCTGGGGGGCAAAAAGGAAAATCTTTGCTCTTGCTCCTGGTGGAAAATCTGTATAGATTCCGTATGATTTAAGGTTAATATTTAAAGGAAAGGAAAGGAAGAATGAAGGGAAAGAAGGATGGATGGGAGGAAGGGAGGGAGGGAAAAAGGAAGGGAAGAAGAGAGGGATGGAAGGGAGGGAGGGAAGAGGAAAGAGGAAGGGAAAGGCAAAACGAAAAAAAATAAGACTGGAAATCAAAAAAAGGGTTTATTTCTGAAGTTCCTTCTAAAGCACCTTCTTTGTGTTCATTTGGCTTATCGGTAAAAATAAATAAATTTAAAATCTGCAGAATCGTGCATTCTGCACTTCACGAAGTGTCTCCTTGGTTTTTATCGAATTGGAATCCGCCGAGGTTGTCCAGAGCCCTCTGCTCGCAAAGCGTCCGACCCTGTTCGCACACGGCAGCTCGAAGCGCTCTGGATTTAAAGACAATCGCCTTTTGCAGATTCACTCTTACCAAGCTTCATAACTTTCACCCCAAATCGTCCAGATACCTCCTCATTCCCTCCTGCCATTTATTTACTGCCCTAGGGGCAAAGATCCTCTTCTGGGCTTCTCTTCTTGCTTCAGGGAGCCCTCTGCACCCTGAAAGGGAATAGAAAAACACAGGGGATGGGAAAAGGGGAACAAGTGAGTAATCACTTAGTGATGAAATTCAGAAACCCTGTGTTATAAAGGGTGCCCATTTGCAAGGTTTGGTTAACTTTGTTTTGGTTGTTTATGTTTCCTTTTAAAAAAAAAACCTGTAAAAATCACCTTTTTGGGGATAACACACTTACAAAACCCTACACACCCTAAAATATGTTTCACTATCTCTTTGAAGAATATTCTGGGTAAAGTCCTTCTCAAAGATTCCGGTGACCATTTCTTGACTCTCCACCTTTATAACCGCTTACAAGTTACAGACAACAGATGCAAATATAAAATGTCCTGTGCCTCTGCAAAGAAGGCTCAAAATTAACATTGTGTGAATGTGTGCATATGTTGCTTCCAACATCTGAAAAAAAAAAAACTTGATAAAATGGAGACTCCAGCCAAGAGGAATGGTGCATGGAATCGGTTGAAAATGCACACAACCCGTAAAACAACAAGCAGCACAGACTGAGATGTATTTAAGTTTCCAAACGTGTTGGGCAAAATGACCAGAAAATATTAGAAATGGTCACCTTGATGGCTAGCTTTTTTGTTCTACAACGACACAGATAAAGTTAAAAAAAAAAAAAAGTTGTGTAGCCACCAACACAGACAGATCACCCTTAAAATCCCCGCTTCCAGCTTTCAAAATACCCTCCTGAACATACATGCATGCGAAGCTTTTG